TATAATATATATTGCAAAAATTACAAATAACACAACTGCTTAATCAAATTTTACGTACAAAAATTTATTCTTATGCAAGCCAAATATATATTGATATGTCAAAAATATCTTTTTCAAAGGATTAATAACGGTCTTGCATATTCTTTTAAAGGTATTTCTCCATATTCGTTTTATTATATCCTACCGTTATTATATACAAGTAAATGGATCTATCTGTACGACCACAAGTCTAACTCATATATGAAAGTACAATGAAAACATTCAATTAGACGAAAAACAATAATAGAAAATTAATTAAATAATATATATATAATAATAGTTATAAATATATTTAATATTTTTCTTTACGGTCACCAAAAAAATACATGCGGTTCTTAAGCGCGGGTCAAAATCTAGTTTATCTAGTAGTGTAAATATATTATATTTTTTATTTAAATAAAACTTATGGAATTATACAGTATAATTAACATTTATGATTACAACTTTTCTATCCTCCAACATTTTAAAATTTTAATATTATTAAAATAAATTAAATAATCACATTAATTATATAAAAGTGATTAATGGTTTATTTTTTATTATAACAAATAGAAAATGTTAATAAAATCATATGAGTAAAAAGTTTCAATTATTAAATGTTCATATTAAAATATAATATACCTATGTCGATATCATTTTAATATAATTATTTTATATAATAAAGTTGGTTTTTTTCTCCTTAGAGCAAAAAATGCCATGCGTCACCTCATCAAAATTTAAGAAATTATTTGTTGGGGTTTAGCAAAAAATAATATTATTGGTAAAATGCATATTTTTTTGGGTTTTTGTTTTTGTAGATTGCATTTGGACTTTCAGATTATAAGATCATTTAATATTATAGGTTTGTTCGTCATCTTCGTTTGAGATACCTAGATCAGTCGACGAGAATTGTAGATATCGTGATAAATTATCAACTCTCCGTAACATCTCGACGCATGCTTAATTCACACCTTTTTTCCTTTTATTTTCTAAGTGATTAACCCATTCTCGGTCATTGAAGCTACCTCATAGCATTCCAAAAATAGCCATATAGAAGTGTGAGTATAAATTTCCCTTTTGCAAATATAAACAACACAACTTCGATGAGCATTAGAAAAAAAGTTTGTTTTTCTGATTGCTACAACAGTGATTTATACCATTCTACTTCCGATTTGAAAGCAGGGCGCTGCTCCAACACCATTGAAATTCGCTTGCTAAGATTTTGGAAGACCAGAAATGTGAGGAAAGGCGGTGAGCTCATGAGTCTAGATATTCTCTTCATTGACGATAATGAAAGCAATTTCTTTCCGATTAACGCTGTTGACGACTGGTTCTATTATGATTGTCTAAAAATATTTGTTTGTTCTTTCTAATAGTCGACGGTTATTCAAGGTTCTATTAAAGTGAACCTTCAATTCATGTTCAGTCAGCATCTCAGCAAAAGATCAGTTTACAGGTTGAGCGGTAAATGATGTAACGTGCTGTAGCCCCATTTTCCGGATGTTGGATGCCTCTTTCTCCATTCGGTTCAATAATGACACCTCTTTAGTGAAGCAAACATCATCTATTAGGTCCATATCTACTCAAATTTTCAGATTCCTAATCTGATCTGAAGTATAAATATGATATTAATGGAATTTTAAGTTACACTTATAAATACTATGCATTGTATGTTCATTACTAACTTTTAATTTGGGAATTAGCAGCTAACGAACACATTGAGATAAAACTTGGTACCTAATTGTTAACAAGAAATTAATAAAAGCCTATAGCCACAAATAATTCAGATTTAAAACGAAGACTTCAATAACAATTAGTGAAAATATAAAATAACATATAATAGATAAAACAATAATGAAAGGCGATAAAAAAGTTTTTTTATGATAACAAGAGATCAAAGATTATTTTATATCTAAATAAATGTTATAAAAGCGAAATCATATGTTATGAATTCCCTAAAATTATCTTCAAACACAAATTTAATATGGACATGAAAATTAAAAACTTACCATTTGTAAAACACAAAAAGTGACGATATATAAAATATGATAAAAAAATAACCGTAGAAATTAAGCTATGTAATATAAAATAAGACAAATACACTAGAAGATCTATAGCTCCAAAATAAAATGACTTAGTCTCACTAAAGTGTTAACAATTTTATTATGAAATTAAGTTTTTGCAATGACAGTAAAACCGAATATCAAAGCATTAAACAATTTTAATAGAAACTGATACAAATAATAATTAAATAAAATAATCCATATATAATGATAATAAAATATTTCAAAATAAAAGAAGTGTTAAACAAAATATCTAATAAAAACAAATTCATGCAAATCACGGATCACTACTAGAGAAAAAAATAATTCTTTATAGAACAAAAAATATAAATAACTAAAAATCTAAAAACAAATGTGGAGAAAAGAAATGATTTATGCATTGGATTTAAACATTTTGTGAAGATTTTTCTTATTTTTATAATAAAACATAACAAAGAATAAAAAAATTACATCAATTAAAAAAAAATACAAGTATGTGCTTTCTAACAAGAACAACAAAAACAAATATTGGAGATTAATTCTTTTTAGTTACAAATAAATTTGTTAAATATGATTAATTTAAAATATAATTTTGTGGTTTTTAATTTGTTCGCCTGCCTCCAGGGTAGGCTTAACCCCATTATAAAATAAAAATAAATAAAAATGAGTACATTGATTTATTTACCAATAAAATTAGTGTAAATAAGCAAGAGAGATTGTTTTTTATTTATCTGTTTACTCCAGTTTAAATATATATAAATAATAGCATAATCGGATACGTAATCTATGGTTGATGGAGTTGATTCATTCATGGTTCCTTTTGGGTGTGTGTCAGTATTCTGATTTCCCCCAAGATGAACCCGTAATCTCCGTGAAGGATGTTTTTGTTCTTTACGACGCCCAATTTCAAATATTCCAGTTACTGGAATGGATTGATTTTCATTCCCAAAGAGATTCATGGTGTTTTGACCAACGAATCTGGGATCCGGGCATACTATATTCATGGAGTCTTAATGAATTGGTGGAAGAGGAGATATTCAACAGCATCAAAAATATTAGAAGATCATGGAATTTCATCAACATGATGATAGTCAAGGGAGACAAAACCCATTAATTTGGGATTGACTCTGAAGAGGGAAAGAAACAGATTTATAAATCTGTTGGCGAGTAAGGCTTCGGTATCCAAAGCGTCGTGGAAATTCACTTCTTCATCGTTCTTTATAATGTTTGACTTTGTAGTAGCGAATAGATATATGGATCTGTTTAATATTGATGTAATATGGTTGTATCAAATTCTTGTATTTGATTTGAATCAATGAATGAATTAGTTGTGTTAAAAAAAAAATATATATATATATATATAAATAATAGTAATGCATTTCTTAATTATTCAATATATTTATTATTTTATAATATATAAATAAACATGAAATAAATAATAACGTATAAAAATTATATGTATAATATTCATCCGCGTAAGGCGTAAATCTTAATTTAGTAAAAATGGTAGTTGTTTAGCATACTAGAATCGGTTTTGGCCATTTGTTTTTTCTGGCATGTCCAAGTTTACTTACCAATAACATTTTGTGAGAAATAAACAAGTCGTTTGTAAAAATGGGTAAATGGACGAATAAACTATAGTAAGTTTTTGTTTTTTTTTACATTGACAATAGTAAGTTTAAATGGCACGATAGCTATCAAGGTTGAACCATTTTTATAGTTTTAAACAGAGAAACTAAATTTGAAACAAATAATCCAAGTCCATATATATATTTAAAACTAGTTAAGAGAAAAGGTGAGAGGGGTAGTGAAAATTATGGGGGTTAAAGTAGGCCTAGGTTAAAGGTGGGGGAGACGTGCATGTGTATAATAATGATAATGTCTTATGGCTTAATCGAGTAATTGGAAAATTGCGTGGCATATTTAGCTTCAGAGATTCTGTTCCCGTTGGTTGCGTTCACACTCTGAAGATCCCTCCCAAAGTGCCGTGTTCACACTTCACTTCACTCGGCTTCCTCCTAGCTCGGCTCCATCCGGATTTCTAAATTGCTGATTTTGATTTAGTTTGTCTATAAATAACGTCTCCATACATTAAATTATCAATTTTTTTTATGTTTTAGTACTATGGTGATATCTTATAATCCATCCTAGCTTAATGCTAACCACCATGTCATAAATTTATATGTTAATAGATTTTTGTTTTCTTAAAATGTTCTTAAACCAAACATGCAAGCAATTTGAAAATATAAATAATCAGGGACAAAATTAACTTTTATATAGTGAATGAATTAGATGAGCTACATTATTATGTATATTTTTTGGTATATCGAATTATATATTTTTACACGTAAAAGAAAATCTGGTAAAAGAAAATTTGTTCGTATGCAAATAAGTTTCCTTTAAATAAAGAAAGAAAACGGGAATTCTGGATAATGGAAATGGACTATTGGATCTTTGTCTTTATACATTCATGCATTACATGTTTCTCCTAAGCCATGTGCATTACATGTTCCTCTCTTACTCATATGCATTACAAACTTTCGTGTTTATTTCTGTTTTCGTTAGACGTCACGTTAGGTCTAATACAATTATCACACTTCTTCTATTTTCCCTTTTTTCATTGGCTTTGCATCATCACCGACACACTAGAAAATAAAAAATTATAGATCAACAAAAATATCCAAGCCGAGCCGACTAGACGAGACGAGACGAGAAAAGACACATGGAGGTGGAACGGTGGACGAAACGCCAATAATGAAAAAATAACAAAAGCTAGTCATGTTGAGTTGAACAAACACATGTCCAGGTAGAAAGGAAAGTCATATAAAAATCTGACGTGACAAATTATATAGATGTTCTTGTTGCATTAGATCTAATCTTTATCTTCTTTTTTTTACATGATTTTAATATCCCACCACCTTTCTACCTACGTCTTATATAAAATCATCTAACCACACTTGACACTTACATCTAAAGAAAAGAAAAGGAAAGAATGGGCAACTGTCTAAGGCACGAGTCAGAAATGCACTGGGCTGGTGAAGATTGGGATGATTTCATCGAACAAGACGATGAACATCACCATCATAGCTCCAAGAAGATCTCCACTAAAGCTAGTAAAACAGTAAGTGTTAAACGAGAACGCAAATCATATGATCCATCTCATCATGCGATCAAGATCAGGCTCACGAAGAAGCAACTCCATGATTTACTTAATAAAGTCAACGTTCATGACTTAACCGGTTCTGCAGCGCCTGATCTTGATTGTAAAACTGAAGAAGGCAACCAACCCCGGTTATGGAAACCGGTTTTGCAGAGCGTACCAGAGGTTGACTAAGAGTTTCTAATCGATGAGACCATGTTGTATTTCTTTAGGGTATGGTTGTAGGAATAGGATTTGTTGATGTAAATTTTGAGGTTTTGTTTTTGTTTGTAAAGTAAATATTTGTTTAAAAAAATAAACCTTGACCGGTGGTAAACTGGTAAATACCTTGACTCCACTCCACTACTTGATTAGCAATCCAGTTATTGGGCTTCATTGGAGGAGAATAAGAAATATATTGGGCTTTATAAGCCCACCAACAGATCGTTTCTTCCCTCCGCTATTCCAAAAACATCTCGAATTCATTTCTATAAACCCTACGCTCCTCCGGCCCCTGCCGTCTCAGTTCTCCGGCTAAAAAAGCTAACTTTTTCTTTCCAATAGACGGAACAGTCTCACTACCTCACCGCTCTACTCATTTAAACGATCCGTAAGGTCTATGCAATTCTTTTTTTTTAAAATTCTCTTCTGCTTGTCGCTTTTGCTATAATTTCAGATTATTATGCGAGAAAAGCGCAAACTTTCTCAATATTCTCATTTTGATTAATTCTAGTTCATTTTGAATAGTACAAATGTGAAAGCATGGTTACTTCTGTTACCAAAAGAGATAAATATTATTATTACCAAACATCACTATCTTCACTGCTACCCTCGTCTGTCCCTTTTCTTGTTTCACCATGTTTTGATGTTTTGTTCTTGTAAAGTGATATGTAAGATAAGTAAACCAATATAATCTTTTGCAGATTCTGAACTAATCACAATGTCACTTACTTCAACTACACTCTGCGGAGGAGCCTCGGTTTTTCCCAAAGCTTTAGCTTGCAGCATTGAGTTCCCAAGGAACCATCTCTCGATCCCTTTCCAAAGCTCAAAGATTTTTTTGACTACACATCCCAAGAAACATGCTACTTGGAATCTAACCAGAAACATTACTCCCATCCAAACAACTATGTGTCATGCTATGCAAGTTGAGACTAAGGGGTTGTTTACCCCTGGGAAGAAGTTTCAACTTAGTGATGTGATTGAAGGTCAACAGTTTGACAGGGAGATGCTAAGTGCTATCTTCGACGTTGCACGAGAAATGGAGAAGATAGAAAAAAGCTCTTCTCAAAGTGAAATACTCAAAGGCTACCTAATGGCTACACTCTTTTACGAGCCTTCTACACGTACCAGGCTCTCGTTCGAATCTGCAATGAAACGCTTGGGAGGAGAAGTGTTAACTACTGAGAACGCTAGAGAGTTTTCGTCTGCTGCTAAAGGGGAAACACTTGAAGGTATCAAATCTTTTTATCAGCTAAGTATCTAATGGGTAACTATTTGTGACATTGTTGATTGTGTGGGAGCACTTTTTCAGATACCATAAGAACGGTGGAGGGTTACTCAGATATAATAGTGATGCGACATTTTGAAAGTGGTGCTGCTAAAAAAGCTGCAGCTACTGCAAATATACCCGTGATTAATGCAGGTGATGGTCCTGGAGAGCATCCCACTCAGGTATGTTGTGTTCATCATAAACTTTAGTGTTTTAGTTTTCCTAAACACACATTTTAGTGATGTCTAGTTCTATTGCTCTTGTGAAGGCTCTCTTGGATGTCTACACCATCCAAAGTGAAATTGGAAAACTAGATGGCATCAGTGTAGCCTTGGTTGGAGATCTTGCCAATGGAAGGACGGTCCGGTCCCTTGCATACTTGCTTGCCAAATTCAAAGACGTGAAAATCTACTTTGTTTCTCCTGAAATTGTTAAGATGAAGGTTAGTAGTTTTACTAAACTTCTCACCCTCCTTAAGAAAGTTTGAAGAAAATGGCTTATTCGACAACATCCTTTGGTTTATTATTTTGGATGGTAGGATGATATAAAAGACTATTTGACAGCAAATGGGGTGGAATGGGAAGAAAGTTCAGATTTAATGGAAGTAGCATCAAAGTGTGACGTAGTTTACCAAACCAGAATCCAGAGAGAGCGGTTTGGAGAAAGACTTGACCTTTACGAAGCAGCTCGTGGGAAGTATATCGTAGACAAGGCACTCTTAGGAGTGATGCAGAAGAATGCTGTCATCATGCATCCTCTACCTAGATTAGATGAAGTGAGTTGATAACAACCTCTCCTTTCTCCTTTTTTCCTGCTATGAACCCTGACACAATCCTCACTCTCTGTATTTTTATGTGAGTAGATAACTCCAGATGTTGATGCTGATCCAAGGGCTGCCTACTTCAGACAAGCAAAGAACGGTTTGTTCATTAGAATGGCTCTTCTGAAGCTACTGCTTGTCGGTTGGTAACAAAATGGTCTTAGAGGTAAAAGTTCCTATAGTGAACTGAATCTCAAGCTTGTGACATAAGAGACGTATCATCAGTGCAAGGACTCAGGGTGTTCTTATGTGTTTGTGTGCTCAGCATAAAAGCTGTGATCGTGATGTTACAACTTCGGACAACATAATGGTAGTTGGTTTGTTGATCTTGACATTACATTAATCCGACCTATCTGAGGAATTGTTGTTGTTGAACTTTATGAATAAATTTATTTCTTCCACCATTAAGCGGAAAGTAAACACTTAAATGTCTTACCGCTCCCTCCAAAGGGCGAAGCGTTACAGTTACAGAAGATAAAAGAGAGAGACGTTCAGTTCACTGTTTACTTTTTATCATTACGAGAATGCCCCTCTTTCCACAACTCCCTTGACACTTCGGAATTAGTTAATTAATTATAAATTTATTATTATCAAAGTACTTTTAGGGTGATTTATCATTAATAAAGTAAAAATTAACACATGGGATTTTCCGTCTTATGTATCTTCCAAGCAGCAAGTCTTTGAAGCCATCCTCAGATTCACGACAGCAGTTCGGTAATAAACCTCGAGCCAAGGTACCTATCTATTCTGTCTCTCTTTCGATTGATAAAGTAGAAGTTTCACGCAATTCACATGTTCTTTGTCTTTCCTTAGTTTATTGAACAATCTCCTTACACAGCTGCAGCTCGGAAAAATTGGAACTTAGTTTTTGGAAGATGATTGGGAATCCTGTAATTCAAGTTCCCTCATCACTAACACCATCATCTTCCATCATTGCTTTCCCTCGAGTTTCTCCCAATGGTCTTCCTTATCTCCCACCAAAACCTAGAACTAGGCATTTAGCAATCAGAGCTGCATCCAATTCACATACTCAACCACCCTCTGATGAAGGGAAGAGTCCACTCACGGTTGTTTTGGATGTGCCGAGGAACATATGGAGACAGACTTTGAAACCTCTGAGTGATTTTGGGTTTGGTAAGAGAAGTGTTTGGGAAGCTGGGGTTGGTTTGTTTATCGTCTCTGGTGCTACACTTCTTGCTCTTAGCTGGGCTTGGTTGAGAGGGTTTCAAATGCGCTCTAGGTTCAGGAAGTATCAGACTGTCTTTGAGCTTAGTCAAGCCTCTGGTATTTGCACGGGGACACCGGTTAGGATCCGTGGTGTGAATGTCGGTACGGTTATCCGTGTGAACCCTTCCTTGAAGAACATTGAAGCTGTTGCTGAGGTATAGCTTTTGGTTGGCTCTTTGAATTTATTGTTTTAATACTGACATGTGTTTCTTATGTAGATTGAAGATGATAAGATCATTATCCCTAAGAATTCATTGGTTGAGGTGAATCAGTCTGGTCTTTTGATGGAGACTATGATCGATATTACGCCGAGGAATCCTATACCGGAACCTTCTGTTGGGCCTCTGCATCCGGAATGTGGTAGAGAAGGTTTGATTGTTTGTGATAGGCAGAAGATAAAGGGGGAGCAAGGAGTGAGTTTAGATGCACTAGTTGGAATATTCACTCGTATTGGACGTGAAGTGGAGGAGATTGGTGTTCTCAATGCGTATACGCTTGCTGAGAGAGCGGCGTCTGTTATTGAAGAAGCAAAACCATTGCTCAGAAAGGTGATATGAGTAGTTTTTTGTGTAGCTCTTTGCTGGTTTTAATTTATACTTTCCATTAGGTTGGTTTTGAGATTGAGAAGAATAGAGGGAGGAAAAATGTAATTCTCATGCTTAACCGGTTGGGTTTTGGTGTAGTGATGTCACAGATTCAAGCCATGGCTGAAGATGCTCAACCTTTGCTCTCTGAGTTTCGTGATAGTGGCTTGCTCAAGGAAGTTGAGTGTCTTACTCGAAGCCTTACCCAAGCTTCTGACGATATGAGGTAATTAATGACTCTTAGTCACCAAAATTTTTTCTAGGTAATAATCTTGGTGTTGTTATTTGTACATCTTCTGAGGAAGTTCACGTTGCAAGTGTAACAGTCCCTAAGTTCATTAGGGAAATAGATTTAGACAATAAAGTTAGAGGTAAAAGCACTAGGTTTCAAGTTAGTACATGCCCTTGGAACTGGGAATTAACAAAATTTAAAGATCTCAACTATACATTGGTCAGAAAATAATTGAATTGCATCTCAGTTTTTAGAACAAGATTAAATGGTAAACCATACACATCTTTAGAACATTATATGGCTTCGTTTGTGGACTAGCTTCAGAGCAAGATTAAATGGTAAACCATACACATCTTTGCGTAAATGTGTCCATGTTACTAGATCCATGTCAAACAAGTGTCCTCTACTGTTTAACAATATAGATCTTGTTTGCCTTCTTTGAAACCAAAGTATGTTGTTGGACACTTAAGTATGTTTGTGGATGGAGTGGAATCTTGTCTCTAACAATTTTAAAGCCAGTACTAGGGCCACATCTATCTTTGTCAAAGCTCGTTAACATACTAATACCTGACTGAGAGATAAACTATGTGGTTAGATAATCTGGTAGAAGATTGTAAAGGATGTAATTTTCCTGACAACAAAGTCTTACAATTTCCCTTTTTGTTACATTGCAGAAAGGTTCATTCGTCCATTATGACACCTGAGAACACAGAACTAATCCAGAAGTCGATCTACACTCTGGTTTACACTTTGAAGAACGTCGAGGTAACTTTTTAGCTATTATTAAACTAAAGTATGAGCGCTTGAAGAAGTTAAAGAAAATGTTTTAACATGGATTTTGATTGTTTCATTGCAGAGCATAAGCTCAGATATTCTGGGTTTCACAGGGGATGAAGCCACAAGAAAAAACCTAAAACTACTCATCAAATCACTCAGTAGGTTATTATGAAACCAATTTATTTTAAAAGGTGAGCAATGTTGATTCTTTTTCTTTAAATGTATGTTTTTTTTATAAGTTGGATTCGAAACGAGATAGACGAGTTCAGTTTATACGAACAACAAAGCCTGTGTGTTCTGCATTAATGCATTTCCTCGAGAATCATTTACTTTTCACACGGGAGAGCGCGTCTCGTTTTCTTGTAGGGTCCCAAGGAAGGAGAAGACCTCACTTCATAATTTCAGAATGGTTTATTATTTTAAAATTCAAGAAAATTGACGAGGGTGTTTTGGTAATTACGGCGGACTATTTGGTCTTTTTAGGCGATTAAAATAATAAAAATTAATAAAGAAAAGAAGATTTTAATACTATAGGCTGTGGTCAGGGTCAGGACAGAGAGCAAGTGCTTACCCTCTTTTGCTTTCTTCAAGACATATCTCTTGTGAACGAAACTCTTTTCAAGACTTTCAAAATTTTGTTTCTAAAACCAAAAAATGAAATTAGCACCCAAAAAAAAAAACTGAAATTATTGTTTTCAACAAGAAATATAAATACACAGCGAGTAAAAGTTTAAAGCAAAAAGGAAAAGAATCGAAGTTGAAACGATTTGGTCGGTCTTGTTGAAAGGTAAAGAAAAAAAAAAAACTATTCCAACCACAAAACAACAATAAAAACTCTCTAAATAATTAAAAATAATTAATTTTTAAAAAAATGTCTTTATGCTGTAAGAGAGTTTTTTTTTGCTTTTCCAACTGCTACCCTTGTTCCTCCTCCTTCTTCAGACAGATCTCTTTTAAAAAACCACATTACTTCTGGTCCCTTCAACCATGAGAAAAGGGAGACTCTCCTCCGCCGTCCCACCCGCCCTTCCCGTAACCGCCAACGGATCCACGAAGGAGCCGAGGTATAGAGGCGTCAGAAAAAGACCATGGGGCCGTTTCGCCGCAGAGATCCGTGACCCTTTAAAAAAGTCACGTGTCTGGCTCGGTACTTTCGACTCCGCAGTGGAAGCCGCACGTGCCTACGATGCAGCCGCTCGTAACCTCCGTGGTCCCAAGGCCAAAACTAACTTCCCCATCGATTGCTCTCCTTCCTCTCCTCTCCAACCACTCTATCATCAGAACCAGATCGATCCGTTTATGGATCACCGGTTATACGGTGACCAGCAGATGATTATCAGCCGCCCGGCGAGTAGCAGCATGAGCAGCACCGTTAAATCGTTTAGCGGACAGGGACAGAGACCTTCTTCTTCTTCTGTTGCGAAGCCGTTGCCTGCGGCGAAGAGGTATCCGAGGACTCCGCCCGTGGCGCCTGAGGATTGCCGTAGCGATTGTGATTCGTCGTCGTCGGTGGTTGATGATGGAGAGGGAGACGATATCGTTTCGTCGTCTACGAGGAGGAAAACGCCGCCGTTTCAGTTTGATCTTAATTTTCCGCCGTTGGATGGCGTTGACTTGTTTGATGATGATCTCCACTGCACCGATCTACGTCTTTGATGATTTGTGGGTATTTTAAAAAAAAAGAATCCGTGATTTACAGAAAAAAAAAAAGAAATCTCAGATTTTTTTTTTTTAATTTTCCTTTGATCTTATATTGAAAGTAAATTAAAAGAAGGAATTAAGAAAAAGGAAGTGAGCACGGTGGTGATTTTGTCGTTGTGAATCGCAATGGCAACGAAGATGATGACGATATTATAAAAGAGAGAGATTGTGTGTAAGATCTGTTAATGTAAGAACCAGATCTATGTTTCATTTGTCTGTTTCTTATAATGATCAACCCTTTGTTACATGTAACATTTTATAGCTGATGATGATTCTTAATGATTCAAATAGAGTATGTGCTTATGGTTTGTGTAACACAGCCACACTGGGCACAAATAATTGTTTCTCTTTGATCTTAATACATTTAGGGTTTCTGTTATACTTGTGATCTGAGCTTATAGGGACATGCGCAGAAGATGTGTAACAAGCTTGGAGAAATGGTGAAGCTCATTTGCTGCCTAGATTGGGTGATTCGAAGAAAGTTGGAATACTCAATTGTTATTGCTAAGCCTGAAGTTTGTGCATTCAGATGTTTAGATTCAGAAGGGAGACAAGAAAGACTGTCCCTTTTCTGCACCCAATTATTGAATGTATGGAGATGGGCATGGTCAATGGGGGGTGATGAGTTGGATGATCCATAGAGCTCACCGGGCAAAGGCCAAATCTTTAGGTTAAAGTTTGGTGGCTGAAATGATGTTGATCTGTAAATGCTGTTGGGTGGTAGAATTCGTTGTATGTGTTTGACCGTCTGATTAAATTTTGCTGGTCTGAGTTGTCCCAGATTTGGTATCTACTTTACTTCTCTGTTACGGATTCAGACAGTGAATCTTTGTGTTTGAAGCAAGACTGAGCTTTTTTGTGTGTTTTTGTTTTTTGTTTTTACCGTATTGGGGTAAAGAAGTCATGACGTGTCTTGTTCTTTACTGTAAAGATTTATTACTGGAACCTAACTCAACTCTCAAGTCACTTTCTCTTTCTTTTTGGGGTTCGAAAATTCTGGTCAAAAAGTATGTTCCTTTACTGTTGTAACCTTTCGAGAATTGAGGGGTTCAAAGCTTCCTCTACGTTTAGTATATGATCGAATATTTTGGGTTTTACACTATAGCTTCCTCTAACCTAAAATTGTTCGGATATTTCCTCAATAACTTATAGAGCATGCATATGCTAAATCATAATCTTCATTAGATTCATTCTTATCCAAACCATCAACATAATATGTTATCATTTAATCCTTGAGAAGATGTACTAACAGAACAAGTTATAAATAAATTAATTAGATCATAAATTATAAAATTGTCTGTGGAGATTTAAGAATTTCTGACAACGTCCGAAAGATGTCTAAACACAATTTATATAGAAATGGCTTAGTGGCTTGCTTGTTCCGGGCACGACTCATATTTCTGTGACAGAAATTCTGTCAGCCCATAAAGGCTTATGCCGGCCCGTTTCTACTCATTTACTTATATACGGTGTGCCCAGTTTAATCACAAAATTTACCTCTTCTACAATCTCTGCTTTTGCCAAATGTTGAAATTATGATCAGGGGCTGGACTAAAAACTCATGAAACGTTAGGTTTATGCGCCAAATTTTAGATAAATAACTTTAAGCCAAAAGGCATCAAAATCTTATGGTGAAATGGCATTATGGACAAAATTTTGTTTTTATGCTGTAGGCGTCCAACTACAAAGTACCGGCTCTGATCATGACATACTGAAAAGTTTAAATCTTAAGATTTTCAGCTGCTAATTGCCTCTTTACCATAAAACTGTCGATACAATTATCATTCATTCTCGTGTATTAGATTGTTTTTGTTTGTAACTTATACTCGTAAAAAAAAAGCGAATGAAACAAGATATCATCTAGGTTGCATGCAAGCTTCATCGGTCAGTTTCCCGTTTGGAAACCGGAATCGAAATCAAAATCTTATGGAATCTTACAAAATCTCGCTTCCAAAACGCTTCTAAAATATCATATTTAAAAACACGTTGGAAGTTTACGATTTCGTTTTGGAATCATGCTTCTGTTTAAAAAACACAATATCATAAATAAATCACAATATCAAATCATGTTTTATTTGTTAAAGAAAATCTAAAATTCAATAGTAAAGAAATAGAAACAATAGAAATATACAAATATTAAAACTGATACTATAAATTATCTTTATGAATTGATTTTTTAATTAGTTATAGCATATATATTTAAATATATGGTGTCAATTATTTATGAAATATTAAAAATAATTAATATAACAATTCTTTTTCAACTTCAGTTATGTATATTTTCAGATTTTTAATATGAAATCATTTAAAATTATTAGAATTGAACAAGTGCTTTATTTTTCATTTGAATCATATAGTTCTTAATCACAAATTTGATAAATTTTCTTATATATATATATATATATATATATGTGGATATATATATACATATATTCATATATGCTTTAACACGTACCTGCTTCCTAAATTTTTTTAAAAATTCGCTTCTATGCTTCCATACAATTTCGTTTCCGCATACCCACTTCCATTTTCATGTAACATAGGATATCATAGATCGTACTAGAGTTAAGAATAATCATATATTCCTTCCATTTCATTTTAGTTATTTTTTTAGGTTTTTGCATACATATTAAGAAAATATTTAATTTTACATATTTTAAAAATAAAAACACAATTAATTATACACCTAACCACATTTCAACTAAAAAATAGAAAAATATATAAAGTTAATAAATTCTACATCAAATCAAAAGTCAAAACTATTAAATGACACTTATTTTGAAATGATTTTTTTTTCTACGACTACATGTAAACTGAAACAGAGTAAATATGTAACAATCATTACTATAACTTCAATAAAGAAAATCTTTAACCAAACCATTCAACGTGTTTAACTATTGACAAAATAGATACAACCTCTCTAATTTCAAGAAAGATAATTGCGAATATATTAAAATCTGTCTTGACTTGATAGTATTATATTTTAAAGAAAAATTTCCACCACATAGACATGAATGGGTAGCCATTCACAAGGTCACAAGCAATCAAAAACTAAACCCATAAATTGTTCGAGTAAATAGACAATTCTTTTAAACTGTAAAATACTCCTTTTCCTATTCATTTCTAGTGCCTTCTAAATAGATTCCATCATCCATCCAATGAACTTAAAACATGCCGCCGGGATTTTATTTCTTTAGGTAGTCGTATAATTAAAAACTAAGGAGACAAATTGAGAGTTTACTAGGTGAGTTTGATCTAATTATATATTTTGTTTCTTTATTTAGACATCTAATTGATTTAATGGTGATTACGAACAGCTTAACAACATACGTGGCGCCGTAGGTACGGTGATTTGCGTAATCTACGGCTTAAATATTACATATCACATGTCATTGTCCTACAGCCTGTTTTGTTTACTAGCATCTTTGTATTCTTTCAACTCTTCATATTTTCTAATACTTTTTAATCGCCACCTATTTTCCCGCCGATAAATGATAATATTAAAAATAGTAGTCTATAAGATTAAAAAATCATTTTAAAAAACTAATCAATGTGGACAACTATCAGAAAAAATAACTGATTACTGTTAAAGAATAAAGAAGAAGGTTGTAACTCTCATTATCTTATTCATCACGTGCACATACATATATATACATACAAGAGAATAAGCATATTCCTTAGGAGATAAGGATTACAACAATAAAGGGGATGATTATCCTAATCCTATAATGATTAGGATAACTACAACATATGGATAAACACAAGGGAGGATAGTGACTGAT